ATAGTCCCCAGAAAGAAGAGGAGCTACCCCAAGACAACAGAGCAAAACAGAGTCTGGGGGGGTCCAAGACGGTAGGGTTCCAAGGGGGGAGGCAGAGAGAGATCCTAAAGAGATCAAGTTGTGGGTTTTCTTAAGGGGGGGGAGAGCTTTCTTTAAATTAGGGAAAGGGGTCAGACAAAGAAGAGACTAAGCTAGCAAAATAATTAGGGGGGAATGCCTAAGTTTAAAACACCCCAAGTTGGGCTGGGGAGAGGAAAAGAAAAAGGGGTGGGGGTGTTAAAACCTTTGCTTTAGATGTTGGGGGCTGCCAAATCCCACCGTTGTGGGAAGAGGATCAGGTTGAATGGGGGGGGGGGAATGCCAGCCTCAAAAAGGGGAGAAAGAGAAAAGGAGTCTTAAAGCCCCTTCCTTTTTGGGGGGGTTGGCTGGAATGCTAAGCAGACCCCAAATTCGAAGGGTGGGGGTGAAAGATAGATATAAGGAAATATTAAAGGGAGGAGGAAGATGCCTATTTTAAAACACCCCAATCTAAGGGGGGGGAGGAGGAAGATGGATGTGGGGCGATTGCGGGGGGCCCCCAAACTCCACATATACACCCTTCCCCTTCAGAACTGGGGGGTGGGGGAACAGACACCTTTCCCCCCCAAAAAAAGAAATACAAGGGAGGGGGCGAGGGAGGAAGGAGGACTAACTCTCCCCCCCAAAATGGGCCGACCCCCCCAAAAAAGAGAGCCGCCCCACAGATGTCAATAGGTGTGGGGAGGGGGGGTGACAGGAAACCAGGCTGGGGTGGGAGCGAGGCCCTACGGGGAGGGAGGCTCCAGCTGGGCCGGCTTCTCCCCTCCTTTTCGGGGCGCCTCCTCTGAGGGGGGGCCGGCGAAGGAGCGCCCCGCCGCCGAGCTGCCTCCTCTCAGTCCCCCTTCGCGTCCGCGCCGGCCGCCGCCATCTTGTTTGGTTCTCTTCCCTCCCATCTCCTCTTCCTCCTCCTCCTCCTCGCCCCGCCCACCACGACGGGCGCGGTGACGTCAGCGAGAGGAGGAGAGGGAGAGAGAGAAGCGCCGAGCCGGGAGAATGGGAGGGACGGAGAGGATTCTGGGAAAGCACGCAAGGGACGCAAACCCTCTAGTAGAACGTCATGTCTAAACTGCGGAAGAGGAGGAGGAGGAGCTCCAAAGGGGATGCGGTCAAGAGAGGCTGTAACCCAATGCTTCCGGCTCTGAATTAACATGTGTCCTAGAGGGTGGAGATGAGCTGAGCTTGAGTCTTGACTGATCAATTAATTTTTTAAAAAAAGCACTTTTATTTTTCCCTGAATGTGATTGGGTACGTTGGGGGAAAATGTTCAAAGAATGAAATTTTTATTTTACTTCCTCAACTCACCCACACAATACTTTTCATGAATGCAGCTCCACCTGTTGAATTTCTACCTGCGTCGTGAAGAAAGCTATTGCAGATGCCGAAGGAGAACTCCCAATCCCCCTCCCCCGTCATTTGACCTCTTTGATTCCCCAGTACCGATTAATTCCGGAAGCTGCGGTCGAAAACCGGAAATGATGTCCCATCGCAGAAGCACTTTTCCTACCTCTTTGTCCCAAGGTTCACCCGCCCCGTCAGCCTCATTATGAAGACCCCGCCTCCTTTCCCCATCATGCATCGCCAGAGCAATGCCAAGTTTCCTTTTAGGTTTCTCCGATTCTTTTGCTACTTTCCTTTAAAAAACTTCACTCCAGAGGAGAAGAGTCGCAGAATCATTTCCTTTGATTAAAAAACGCGAGAAAGAGTCTAATGGGAAATAATGGCTTTCCATTTGTGATCACCATAAGCTTACAATGTTTCCAGTATCGGAGCTTTATATAGCAACTGCGCGCATGTAGCATACGTGCTCGCTTCGGCAGCACATATACTAAAATTGGAACGATACAGAGAAGATTAGCATGGCCCCTGCGCAAGGATGACACGCAAATTCGTGAAGCGTTCCATATTTTGCAATTATTGCTAAGTGACATTTTGCAATTCTAGCTAAGGGATCCACATGCAAAATATATTCATACATGTATATGTGTTTTTGAAAAATAAATGCATCCTCCCTCCTCTCTTTCCTCCCCCTCTCCACTTTGCTAACCTCATAACCACTTTTGCAATGTCTTGCTTTCAATGGGGGGAAGAAGGGCTCTGCCCTAGTATTTGCATAGTAGGCCCATTTAAATCAATTACTACTTATTTGGTTCTTTTCCCCCTACTCCCATCTTCTTTCCCCCTTCAAACTCAATTCATTTTCCCTGCTTTTCCCCGAGTTTGTCCCTGCACAACAGCCCTGCCAGGTAGGCTGCAGGTAAAGATGCCCAGCCTAGGCCTCTAGCTCCAGGTTGGACTGGCAGGCAGTAGGGATCCTGGGATGGGGCCTCTCAGGCACAGTCCCCCAAGGGGGAGCATGGGATGGGGCATCCCCCAGCCCCTATAAATCTTGGGGTTAGCCTGCCCTGGGGAGAGAACATGCCACGTTTTGGACTTGCTGCTTGATGTTCTGTAGCTGGTGCCAGAGAAGCCAATAAAGCCCCAGAACCCCTTCGGTTCCTGTGTGTGATGCATAACTGTCAACCGTCCCTTATTTGGCGGGAAACTCCCTTATCCCAGCGCTGTGTCCCGCTGCTGTCCCTTATGGATGATGTCCCTTAAATTTCCCGGGTTTCAAAGGAAGCAGCTCCTCTCCCTCCCTCCCTGCCGGCCAGGGAGGAGGGAGGCTCCAACTGTGTTGCTTGCCTGCGTTGCTCACCCAATAAGGAGTCTAAGAACGACTGGGGGGTGGGGCTTGCATGCCTTGTGCCGATCAAATCGGCCGCGTTGCCTGGGGACTTGCCTTTGCTCAGCGCTTCCCAGCAGAGAGGTAACAGTGGTTTTCCTTGCTGCATCCCCTTTGCCGGGTTGCTGCGCTGTGGGAACCACCGCTTGAGGCTTCGTTTGGCTGCTGGCTGGGCTTTCTGCCTTTGGCTCGGAGGGGCTCAGAAGCTGAACATACCTGTCCTAGGAAAAGCCCTTATTTTGGCTGCTGATCCCTTATTTCCGAGGCTGCTGGTCCCTTATTCTCAAATCTGTAAGTTGACAGCTATGGTGTGATGCATAGCTGTCAACCTTCCCTTTTTTTGTGGGAAATTCCCTTATTCCAGCGCTGCTTCCCGCTGCTATCCCGGATTGTTAGATAACCCGTAGACTGTCATTGGGACAGGTGAGGCTGCTGATACCTTATTTTCAAATCTGAAAGTTGACAGCTATGGTGTGATGGACTTGGAGAGAGGGCTGGGGAAAGCGACCCCCTCCTTGACCTAGATAATAATAATAATAATAATAATAATAATAATAATAATAATAATAATAATAATTTATACCCTGCCCATCTGGCTGGGTTTCCCAAGCCACTCTGGGCGGCTTCCAACAAAACACTAAAATAATACAATAACCTATTAACCATTAAAAGCTTCCCTAAACATGGCCAAAACCCATTCATCCACCCGGGAAAGCATGTCGGAACACAAAATGTATTTAATTATTAGCAGCTAGTTATTACCACAAAGCAGCCACTCAGATTTGGGGTGTATTGAGCAGGAGAATTTGGAAGTAGTAGGAGGGAAAATAAGAATATTCGATAGGAGGAAAAGGAAAAGGGAAGTAGATAAAATATCTACAGTCATATGTGGTGGGATTGTCTGCTAGTTAATGAATTCTGGAAACAGATTGGTATAGAAATATCGGGAATTGTGGGTAGAAAGGTGGAAATATCTAAATTAATGGTTCTTATTAGCCTGAGTAGCACCGAGTTAAAAACAAAAGAGGAATGTAAATGGGTAAAATTGATGGTAATTGCAGCCAGACGGGTTATAGCGAGTAATTGGAAAAATGCAGAAGAGCTAGGGGTGAACCAATGGAGGAAAAAACTGAAAAATATTATAATTTTAGAATATCTGTGAAGATACACAAAATGAAAGGGTTTAAGGTCAGTGAGAAGGAGGAGGATTGGTTTGAGAAAATATTGAATTATTTGGGCAGGTTAGAACAATTTGGGGCAATTAAAATGTTAAAAGTTAAATAAACCTTGTGGAGGGAGGAGTGTTAAGGTATATAGAATTGTACATAGGGTTGATTTGAATATGTTATTATTGATTATGTATACCCAATGTATCAGCCGCCTGGGAGGTTTCACTGTTTGTTTTCACTGTTTGTGTTTTGGTTGTTGGTAAAAATAAAATAAAAAAGAAAAAGAAAAAGAAAAAAAGGAGCTGCTCAGCTGCAAGCTTCCCCAGAAGTCAGATTCCAATCCTCATCATTCTGAATACATACAAATTTTGTTATCTGGGCTCTAGTGGCCACGTCAGCCGTGCAGAATTCAGCGGCCAGGTTGCAAGACGGTTTGAGCATATTGCACCAATCCTGGTCTGGCTGCACTGGGCCCAATTCAAAGTGCTGCTTTTGACCGATGAAGCCTTAAATAGTTCAGGACCACAATACTCTTTCCATATGTATCTACCCAGACCCTGACATTGTCCCCTCTTTGTATGTGTCCCTTCTGAGGGCACTAGAATGGGGCCTTTTCTGTGGTGGCTCCCTGTTTGTGGAATGATCTCCCCAGAGGCGCCATTGCTACATGATCTTCAGGCACCAGGAAAAAAAATCCTTTTTAAACCGACCTTTGGCTTTTACCTATCTATGGGTAGGATGTTTTAATCTATTTTTTTAAAAAAATAGAATTGTCTTTAGATTGTAAGTGCTGTGGCAAAAAAAAAAAAAAAAAAAACTAATAAATTTATTTAACACTTAATAATATTTCCCCCCAATTATAGTTTATTAAATTTCAACTTTTTAAACCTATACAATCCAAACACAATTCATCTTTTCTCTTATTTTTGTTGACTTCCCACCCTGTTTTCCAAAGCTGCTCTTTCTCTCTATTATAATCTAATTCCTCCTGCTGCTCATTGCTCAAAACCTGCTTGCAAGTTCATCATACTATAACATTTATTTAAATAGTCCGAAAAAGGCAACCATTATTCCATAAGAACACACACCATTAGCTTCTCTTAATCCTGCTGTTAATTTTGCACAGGCAAATAGTGTATCCTCATAAGGAGCAGAATGAAATTCAAGAGCTCTTGTCCGTCCCGACTCGCACCTTAATCCTTGGTAACCTTGCCAATTCTTGCAGGAGGAAAAAACAAATATTGTTCCACGGGGCGGCCAAGCTATTATTTAAGCATTATTTCCTTTGTGTGCTTTGTGAGCAGAGTGTTTTGAAGCACTCCGGCCCTCATTGCTTAGATACTAGCTGGGTCTGAACACAGCAGAGAAAATGCCTGTGAAAAAGAAATGCTGAACGGAGCCCCGGAAAGCAGGAAATCTGCCACACAATACAGATCTGGTGGGGCCACGCAAGCTGAAGGGTCCCAGCCCCAATTCCATCCACCCAAAAATTTATCCGAAAGGCAGACTATCTTTTAGAGGTGGGCAACGCCATCCTTGCATCTTTCCTTATCGCCTCCTTTCCCATCATCTCATGCACAGAAATTAGCTAAGCAGTGGTCACTGAGATCAGCTGTGCTAGAGGTCAGCTGCGTGGAGGAGCATCTCTCCAGAGCTCAGCTGCTTCGCTGGTGAATGAGCACGGATGCTCGTTGCACTCAGCTCCCACCAGGCGTTGCCCAAACCAGTAAAGTGTGCTGCTCCCTGGAAGAAGACGACAGCCATGATGCCAGCCGGCTGGGGCTCCCATGAGGCAACGAGGCCGCCGCACATCGTTTGGGCTGATCTCGTGATCCGGGTCCCTCTGCACCAGGGCCGGTCCAAAGGTAACCCCTGTGCTTGTTTTTGTTGCGTTTTTTCCCTGTTTCAATTTTCATCGGTCATTACAGCTGTTCTCTCTGCAGCCCTGCAGAGGGAAGTTTTTTTAATGTTTAATTTTTCTTATGTTTTTATATATGCTGGAAGCTGCCCAGAATGGCTGAGGAAACCGAGGCAGATGGGTGGGGTGAAAATAATAAATTAATAAATTATTATTATTATTACTACATTGCAAAATGAAATGGAAAAGAATATTATCTGCCATTTCAGTGGCACCCAAAGAGATGCAAGATGCGACCTTTGCGGCAGCCATGAAGCAGCACCCAGGAAGCGAGGGTCACAATCCGGGCCAAAGGAACAGGAGGACACATCTGCCCCAACGCTGCCAGGATTGCACCCGGGGAGCCGAGGAGGAAGACAGAAGGGAGCCCATTGCCCCGGCCTGCCACACGGTGCCTCCCTCGTCCGCTCCAGAAAATGGAGACTCTCAAGAAAAACGTGCTGTCCGAACAATCCTCGTCGACCTGAGACCCATCCTGGAGAAAGCGTTGGACCTCTCGGACTCTTCTCCAGAGATGTTGGAGAGAGACTCCCAAAACGATGAAGAACATCTGCAGATGGAGACTGGAGATCTCCCCACTGAAGGAGGAGGACACATCTCAGAGATGGCCACTGCTGCTTCCATAGATACCAGCATCCCTGAGGACGTCTTGCCACCGCTCCCCGGGGATCCCTTCCGAGCACCCAGTGCCCACGCCGAGAGCACCCGCAAGGCCCCAGAGATCTGTCCTCAGTTGGACGACTCGACTGAACTTGAGGAAACCACGCTGCTGGCTGCGTTGAACCATGAACCGAAACTCAGAACGGCCGTTTCCTTGCCTAAGATTACGCCGCAAGAGTTAGGAGAAGACCATCTATTGCAATCGATCAAGGTAAATTCACACACCCAATATGGGTGCTGCTGTGACCCAAGTTTGTCCGTGTGTGAGGATGGGGATGGGTTTTCAACCAGGGATGAGCAGATTTCTTCTCGGTACCCTCACCGTCCAAGGCCTGGTTGCTTAGTGCAACCGGAATACACTTTAAACACGCTCAAGGGCAGAGCCTTGCAGGTGTCCCTATTTTCCAGGTACAGTCACACATTTACAGAAGCCGTCCTGGTTTCTGATTCGATCCTGGAATGTCCTGCTTTTCCTTAGGATGTCCCTATTTTCATCAGAGAAATGTGGGAGGATATGGAGGTTATGCGACCCTTGAAGCAAGGAGATAAGTCACTAGATAACCCTTAGAAGACATCTGAAGGCAGCCCTGGAGAGGGAAGTTTTTTAATGTTTAAAGTTTTATTATGTTTTCATATATGTTGGAAGCTGCCCAGTGTGGCTGGGGCAACCCAGTCAGATGGGCAGGGTATAAATATTCTTATTCTTATGGAATAGGGCATTCCTGTTTTCATCGGAGAAATATTGGAGGGTATGCCCTTGTCACTGCAAAGCCATGCCTCTCTTCCTACCTTCTTGGGTCAAGCATTGGACGTGCCCCCAATTTAAAACAATACCTTGCCTCTTTCTCTTCCCGCCCCACTCCGCTCGCCTGCCCCGCTTTCCCCAGCCTCCCCCCTCCCCCCCAGACTTCCATCTCCCCACACAGCTGCTGCTGCAGAGGCTGCAGGAGACGACCACCAGCCGGCATCACTCGCTGATTGTGCAAGTCCTGAGTTCGCTGCGGGAGGAACTCTTGATGGAAGAGCAGCTGCCTTTGGATGGTGGGTAAGGAGACTTCTTCCTCCCAGGCGCACAAATGTAAGATGGGGCACACCTGGCTTGCATGTGCAAAGGATCTAGGGGTCTCAGTGGACCACAAGGTGAACAGATTCATCCTCTCTCTCTCTCTCTCTCTCTGCACTTCCAGGGACAAGGCAACCCATCTCCTGCAGCTGCCCAGCATCAAAGCTCCAGAAAGGAAGATGGGAGGCCAGAAGGTGAAGCATTTGAAGCCCGGCCAAGTGGCCACCGAAAGGATGCTTGGCAAGTTCACCTGGCACAGGTGCCACAGGTCTGTCTATGGGGCCGGCTCAGCCCCACAAGCCACAGACCTTTGAGTTGCTGCAAGGTCTTTTATTAAAGATGATGTTGTTGTTGCCACAAAACAAACAACTTAAGATCAATGGTTTCTATGGGTCCATTCTGACCCATAGAAGTTTTGCTGATAACAGGGGTTGGAACTGAACTTTACTCTGCTCAGAATAGAACCCACTAAAATTAATCGACCCAAGCCAGTCAATGTCTTTGTCTTTGGATTTCAACAGCTCTACTACTGAAGCTGAACCAATTATTTTGCAATGTTAGATATATATATATATATATATATATTCATGATTGTGGGGGTCTGTTATTTTCTTAAATAAATAAAATAAAGTAGTGTGCCGGCTTTAATTTTTTGCTTCTTGGACCTTTGACTGTGACTGTTCATAGAATTCAAGGGGACCCCCAAGGGTCATCTAGCCCAACCCCTGCGATTCGGGCTTCGAAGCCAAAGAGACAATCCCAAGCAGACAGCCATCCAACTGGTTTAAAAACCTCCAATGAAGCAGAGTCCACCATCTTTAGACAGGTTTCCTAACCACACAATCCTATCCACATCTACTCAGGCAAAGGCTGAGCTCAGCAAGGAGTTACTCCCAGAGTAAGTGTGTACAGGATCAGGGCCTGAGCAGCTGCATAATTTCTGGATGCAAGTCTGTAACACACACACACACACACACACACACACACACACACCACATTTCATTTTTCTAGTGGTGAAAGCACACCAGATAGCATTCTTTCCAATTTCAGTCCCTCCATATGTTTTTCTCTTTCGGGGGCAATTTTATTTATTGAATTCATATTCTGCCTAGTCCGCCAAGGAGTTCAAGATGCTTCTCCTTAACAACCCTTAACCTTATCCACAGAACATTAAATCTGATGTCAATTTGGCATTGATCCGTTAAAAATTTGGAGATACGAATAAATATGAATTGGCAAATAAGAAAAAAGAGAGAATCTTATCTCCTGTGAGGTGGGCTAGGCTGAAAGGCAGTGATTGTCCCTCAAGGTCCCACCCACGGAGCTTCATGGCTCAGCTGGAATTTGAACCCTGGCCTCCTGTCTCAGAGTCCGATGCTCTAAGCCAGGCATAGGCAAACTCCGGCCCTCCAGATGTTTGGGACTACAATTCCCATCATCCCTGACCACTGGTCCCGTTAGCTAGGGATGATGGGAATTGTAGTCCCAAACATCTGGAGGGCCAGAGTTTGCCTATGCCTGCTCTAAGCACTACACCCTGCTGCCTCTCTCTTGGACTCTCAGCTGCTCACCCATCACCCTTATCTGTGGAGCCTCTGTCAAGATCTTGCCCGCTCCCAGCACCCCAGAAATGGTTAAGACTTGTGGTGTTGATAACGGCAAGGTCGCAGGTTCAATCCCCATATGAGAAAGCTGTCTATTCCTGCACTGCAAGGGGTTGGACTGGATAATTCCACCTCTGTGAGTCTATGATATAAGAGGGAGGATGGTTACAGGAGCACAACAGAAACACGCAACGAAAATGTGTTCCCTTCCAGATTCGTTTATTGAGAAATATATCGTGAGAAACGGGCTGCCCACCCCACAGCCCTCTCTCTCTGCCTCCCGGGCAGCTCACACGTAGAACTGGCACCCGAATTTCATCTCTTCCTGCTTGCTCTGCGGGTGCAGGAAGTAGAGCTCGTCTAGCGTGGGGTTCGTCCAGCGGGTGGTGTGGTAGCGGGACTCGCCCACCTGCAGGGAGGAAGAGGAGAAGCTATTGACAATCTGTCGGCCTCACCTGGGTCAGGCAACAAGGAACTTAAAAGAACAAAAAAACACACCCCAATATCCTTATGATAAGTGATACCACCTCTGACCACTTATCATGGGGGCACTGAGGTTCAGTCTGGCAGCTTCCTTCTTTGTCGCTTGGGAGAGCCCCTAAGCTCGCCATAGGCGAAGAGGACGCTCTTATTCCACTCCACAAGGGACTTTGCTCTTTTAAGGCCACGGGGGTGGGAAAGTGCTTGAGCAACCCCATTTTTTTAACACTGCACCCCAGAAGCAACCCCAGGTTGGTCCTCACCTGCCAGTCGGGGACGTCCTTCATGATCTTGGCTTCCTCATCCAAATTCTGCCGCAAGAGGCGCAAGGTCCTTTAAGAGGGAAGACGAGAGACGGACCAGAAAGTGAGGCACAAAATGAAAACAGCCGAGTTCCACAAGTCTGTTGATTTCAATGGATCTACTCAGGTGTCAGCGGTTTATTTCTGCGGGTTGCAGGGTGGCTTATCTGCATTTTTATTTGATCCATCTCTAATTATCACAGCAACACCTGCTTGGAGAAGGACCTGGGTGTAACTCAAGGATTTTGCAGGCTACTGGCCACTAAGCAGAGGTTGGGTGACCATTTGTCATGGATTTCTGCATTGCAGGGGGTTGGACTAGAGGACCCTTGAGGTCCCTTCCAACTCTACAATTCTATGGGGGGAAAACCTAAAAAGCTGGCAAAGCCAGTGCTTTGACTCCCAGACTATAAATATTTCTGAGGAGACCTGGGGCCCCACTCTATTGATGGAACGTGGGTACTGCCATGCGCAACATTGATAAGACTCTCCCAGCTCAAACAAGCGAATGAAGCAATGACAAGGCTTTCAAGTTCGCTTGCAAAAGATGAGCATAGATAGAGACAGCCAGGTAATGTCGAAAAGCATGGAGCAAGAGGCTGGGCACATCTTTCCTTTCCTTTGATAGGGTCCCTGCTAATCACTGGCAGTTTAAATATGCACACACTTGCATTAAGAGCTGAAGGTTGCATCTTTGGCTAAACCTCTTCTGTGTTTTAGAAACTGAACGAGGGCATTTGCACGTGAATGCTGGCGAGCTGAACGAAGCTTACTCCCAGGAAGCTGTGCAAAGGATCACAGTCCGACTGACCCAAATAACACAGCAACACACAATTATTAATAACAACAACAACAATAATCCAATTTCTTACCCACCCTGCACCTTCAGGTCCCAATCACAACAATTTAAAATCCAATATTTAAAACACTTTAATGGTTTTAATGATGCAAACCACCTTGATATATATATTTAAATTGATGTAGAAATATACAGATTTTTTAAAAAAGAAATAAGTACACACTGCCCACTGGTTTATGGGTGTGCTTACTGGATCAAGGCAAATACCTGCGTTTGATGGCAAATACCACTGCGTGTGGCGGTGCCAAAGCGGCTATCACAACAAGCCCCCTGGTCTTCTAAACCCACCACAACTTCACAAATTTTGAGGGTTAGGGTTAAGGTCTGTATAGTTAAAGCCATGGTTTCCCCAGTAGTGATGTATGGAAGTGAGAGCTGGACCATAAAGAAGGCTGATCGCCGAAGAATGGATGCTTTTGAATTCTGGTGCTGGAGAAGACTCTTGAGAGTCCCATGGACTGCAAGAAGATCAAAGCTCTCCATTCTGAAGGAAATCAGCCCTGAGTGCTCACTGGAAGGACAGATCCTGAAGCTGAGGCTCCAAGACTTTGGCCACCTCATGAGAAGAGAAGACCCCCTGGAAAAGACCCTGATGTTGGGAAAGATGGAGGGCACAAGGAGAAGGGGACGACGGAGGACGAGATGGTGGGACAGTGTTCTTGAAGCTACCAGCATGAGTTTGACCAAACTGCGGGAGGCAGTGGAAGACAGGAGGGCCTGGCGTGCTCTGGTCCAGGGGTTCACAAAGAGGCGGACATGACTAAACGACTAAACAACAAACGACAATGTCCATAGAGAAAGGAAGGACCCAGGAGGGGCGGGTCACTTGCTTCAGAGGAATCCCGTGGGATCCACACATACCTCCGGTCGTTCTCTGCCATCAGAAGAGGATAGATGGCAATCCGTGTCTCCAGATCCTCAATGTTCAGACGTCTGGAGAAGGGAGAAACACATAACAACAACAATAATAATAATAACACCCCCCACCCATCTGATTGGTCCAGCTTCTGGGTTTGACAGTGGGGAGGGAGGAATCCTGTTGCGTTCTGCGCATGCAACAACAGGTGAATCCTGCCCCTTGTCTCTCTTTTCCAGCGGTACTCTTTAACCAGGGTTTCTCAACCTTGGGTCTCCAGCTGTTTTTGGACTACAACTCCCATCAACCCTAGCATTATTCAGGGATGATGGGAACTGTAGTCCAAAAACAGCTGGACACCCAAGTTTGAGAAACCCTGCTTTTAACATATTGGTGGAGTGTTATATCCCCATGACACTTGGCCACTAAAGTTGACAAGTCTGTGTGTGAACATGCCCCAGAGTAAAACACAGAGGAAGGCATCTGTAAGGAAGTTGGGAATGGACAGAAGGCTGTCTCGCTAGGGTGGTCCATGCCCTGGTTATCTCCTGCTTGGACTACTGCCATGCGCTCTGTGACTTGGAAACAGCCCTGTTTAGGGAAGTTTTTAATGTCTGATGTTTTATTCTGTTTTTAATCTGTTGGGAGTCGCTCAGGGTGGCTGGGGAAACCCAGCCAGATGGGTGTGGTATAAATAATAATAGAAGGTGGTAATTGTAGTAGTAGTAATAATAATAATAATAATATTAATAATAATATAATACCAGTCCTGAAAGATCGTCACTGGCTCCCAGTCCGTTTCAGAGTCCAATTCAAAGTGTTGGTGCTGACCTTTAAAGTCCTAAACGGCCTTGACCCAGTATACCTGAAGGAGCGTCTCCACCCCCATTGCTCAGCCTGGACACAGAGGTCCAGCTCCGAGGGCCTTCTGGCAGTTCCTTCCCTGTGAGAACTGAGGTTACAGGGAATCGGTGGCTCAAAGTCCAACCCTCATTGTACAGCATGAGACTCTTAAATCTGAGGGTCATGGGTTCAAGCCCCATGCTGGGCAAAAGATTCCTGCAAATTGCAGGGGGGTGGACTGGATGACCTTTGGGTTCCCTCCAACCCTACGATTCTCTGACCGCTGGCTGCTGGGAGTCCAATGAAGGTGGGCAAGTCTGATGTGGAGGCTTAGATTTTGCAAGAGAAAAGGGTCGTTTCAGCTTCTTTCATCTCCCACGCAGCATCTACTTAGCAGAAAGGCTAGAGAAACTCACCTCCTCTCTCGGTTCCACTTCACTATATTGTAATAGCCGACGATGAGGGTCCCCAATCCAATCGCAAAGAGGCTGTAGCCTGGGGAAGGAGAAACACAAAACAAAAGGGTGAGAGCATTCAGCAATTGCCATACGAAGATCCCTTGAATTAAGGTTACTAGTCCACATTGAGGTTCTGG